CTTCGCCAGACCTTCATGGCCTTTTCCCTTCCAGGCCTGAAGAAGCTCCGTCGGCAGCGGACCATGGAGGAGGTGAAGGAGGTGAAGGACCCGCTGGAAGCGATGCCATCGTCCTCGGACGAAGAGGAGGACATCGACACCATGAGGGACGACCTCCAGGCCACCAAGAGCCAGCTCGCCGAGGAGATCAAGCAGAGGAAGAAGATCGAGCGCGAAAACAAGATTTTAAAGATCGACATCGAGAGCCTGCAGGCGGAGGTGAAGAAGCTGAAGCGGCAGCTGAAGGAGGCCGGTGCGGTGGAGCCGAAGCCCCTGAAGAGCAGCGAGGCAGAGGAGATCGTGCCGAAGCTCGAGAAGTCCATGAGCAAACTGCGCATGCGCGAGGACGACCTCGACTTCACCGAGCTGGACACGCTGGAGACCGAGATCAACAACCTGAAGCGGGAGGTCGACTTCCACAAGAAGCAAGCCGAGGACTACCTCACGCGCTACGACGAGGTCACGCAGAAGCTCATCGTCTCCGAGAACAGCGCGGACGAGTGGGAGCTGCGAGGCAATTACTACGAGAAGAAGTACAAGGCCCTGCAGAAGGAGCACAACATCGAACTGCCGGACATCGACACCATTGGGACGCAGACGGACCCCGTGGACTTCGTGGAGGCGCCGCCGTCGTCGCCCGTGGGCGATGACGACGACGACGACGACGATGACGACGCGGCCTTCCCCGTGCCGTCCAAGTCAGGCTCGCGAAGGAGCTTTGCGTCCTCCGTCCACAGGATGGAGAGCTTCAAGGAGGAAGATGAAGAGGACGAAGAGGAAGAGGAGGAAGACGAGGAGGAGGAAGAAGAGGAAGAGGAAGAAGAAGAAGAGGAGGAAGAGGAGGAGGAAGAGGAAGCAGAAGAGGAAGGAGAGGAGGTCGATGAAGAAACGGCAGCGGAGAGAAGAGCCGAGAATGCACAGAAGAAGAAGGACAGAGACCTGAAGCTGTGGCAGAACAAGCTGGAACACATGAAGGACCGCGAGACGAACATTCGCAAGGAAAGGAGCAGCCTGAGGGAGAGAATAAAGAAATACTTCCGCGACATCCAGGCCGAGAGAGAAGGCTACATGAAGATCAAGGCGGAAATCGACGAGATGGCGAAGCTAATGAAGGAGGGCGTGGAGAGCGAGCCAGAGTCGGAGTCGGAGGAAGACGAGGAAGAGGAAGAGGAGGAGGAGGAGGAGGGAGCGCCGCCAGCAGACCCCGACGACAACGCCGGCTGGTGGTTCGACGAGCCCAACCAGAAGCCAAAGAAGCTGAAGAAGAGAAAGAAGAGGAACAACCGCGGAAAAGAGAGGGAAGAAGAGGAGATGGTGGACTTGTCGCAACTCGTGGAACCGGAATGGAGCGACAGCGAAGAGGAGGAGAGTGAGAGCGACAACGAGGAGAACGAATTCGAGAGCAGAATATCCAGCCTGCAGGATCGGACGAAGAAGCACGAGCTGTCCATGAACGCCATGAAGAAGGACAATTACGTGCTGAAGGCGCAGGTGGAGCGGTGCGAGGAGATGTTCGACGTGGAGAAGAGACGGCACAAGCGGTTGAATGAGGAACTTCACATTATGTTATCGGAACTCTCGTAGCCTTTGTCCCCTTCGTTCAGATTTTTTATGTCTCTCACTTTGTCTTTGTCTTTATTTCTCCATCTTTTTCTCTCTAGGATATGTAATAAATGACTCAAATTTTTATTTTAGATTTGTAAGTAGAGAGTATAAATGCTTCTTCGTTTTGTTTTGTTGTTGTGTATATGAAGGGTTGTATGAGCAATGATGTGAATGCGGATTACATTGTTTTAGTATAAGCAAATGTCTGCTTTGTTCTCCACCGTGTGGCAGCTTCATATTGAGTGCAGATATTGTAACTTTTAAATAGCATTAGTCTTTTTATCTTATGCATTCTGCTACATTTTCTGTATTTGGAAACAATAATAAAACTCCCTTCTTCCCTTATTTGCAGTAATAAAAATGCTATACAGACAGGCCTGTGCATATTAAAATGGAAGAGAAATTTAATGTGATAAATTGATTTTAAAAAATATATTGAGTGTAACACAAGGATGCGTGCTCGAACAGAACACCCTAAGGATCAAGCAGATGTCCTTCTTAATAGGTTCTGCAACAGCATCCATGGGACCAAGGCAAGGCAGACCGTGATAGCTGTTGCAATTCTCCATAACTTGGGTATTTCTGCCATTTTATTGGAATTACTTCATTTTTCATTACATTGTTTGATATGTACTTTTTCTTCTTTTCATGTGACAAGAAAAACTGTCAATTAAGAAATACATTTCTTTGTATTTCATACATTTTCATCATAATTTACTTATTTTTCAAACGTGACAAGCGAAGTAGCTCATTTCCAAGAGAAAAAAAATAAACTCGTCAAACCATGACATCGATCTATACTTTTCATGTTTGTTTTTCTTTTTTTAATAATACAAGTATGCATCATCATTCTTCCTTCCTTCTTTTTCACTTCTCTTCCAAGAAAAGCTTCTCTCTAAAATGATTTGAGTGTATGGTGTCCTCTTGTCCGATAGCGTCTAACCAATGTCAATCTGAAGGTGCGTCTCTCTGCCACCTCTCCAGCGGAAATAGGTCGGCCGGCAATTCAATACTTTGTGTGTAGGCACTAGAAGCCTTTTCAGATTTTTAAAAGTTTAATATGCATGACATTTTACAACTAAAATAGATTATGAATCTAATAAATTATGGCAGGATCATACTTTGTTCTCTTTCATTATCCTTTTATGTTGTTATTATTACACTGAGGCTCTCTCCAGGTGGTGCTTTGTCATAAATCACCTTAAATACAGGTGGTGTTTCATTACCAATTCAATAAAATGTTGGTGAAATGAAACCAATCCTTTTTGTTATGCAATAATGCTGATAGGATGAACACCGTGGGAAAGATTCTTTATAGAAAAAATATATGTAATCATTTTAGGTCTTGAGAAAAAGCCTAGATGTTGCAGAAACTGGAAATGTTTATAAATTCTAACCATTGAGGACTGACATAAGAAAAAATTATAATAATTAATAAAAGCTCTAGTTTTAAATATTTGAGGTGGCATCAAGGCCATTATTTATTTTGTTAGCAATGTGTCAAAATTTACCAGTACATTACATGTTACCTTGATATTCTAACTTTTCATCTTAAAAGTCTGTATTTAGGTAACTGAACAAATCATAATAGCTGATCTATGTAATATTAATATCTTGGTATTATGATTACTTTATGAATTCTTTAAAATGTAAATTTAAAATCACAAAATCTTGAAAAATAAAACCAAAAAATAGAAATGGTTCATAAAAATTGTAAAAATCATGACCCAAAAAAATCTGAGGTATGAGAGAAAAACAACATTTACCATTTTTTTGGTACATTTACTTCAGATCAAGTATATAATCCCAACTCCCGAGGCCTTATGTCTTGTGACTAAGCGAGTTACAATTTGATTTCAAAAACGCTTACATCTTTTTACCTTTTCTTATCTTTATCATTATCATAGTATCATTTAAAATCATCTCGAGTCCTCATTACCATGAAGAACACATTAAAAATAGCTGCCAGAACACTAGTGTGGTACGACGACCTGTGCTACATTTCGCCAAGGGAGATGAGAGCAAGACAATATCACTTAACCTGCTATTGTGTGAGACATACAGACTCTTTAAGCTACAGTGGTTAAAGAACACTAAAGACAGTGTCCACAGCATGAAAGGAGAGTCCTTGTGAGGGAATTAAATTTAGTTTTTTTTTTTTTTTAGCATTTTTCTTTTTACCAATTAATAATTTTGTTATCCTATTCTTACCAATTAATCAAAAAAATGTTTAGTTCAAATCATATTTCAGAGACTGCCAAGTTCTTTTTCTTTTTTTTTCCCGGACAAATGCCGCAAACCTGCCACCCCTAAAATATGCATATTGCTTGGGTATAATGGAACCCTATATTGATTGCTGAATCATTGACCAAATTGGATCTTAAAGTTAATAATAGCTGTAAAAAAAAAAAAAAAAAAAAAAAAAAAAAATTAGAAACCCTCCCACCTTACAGGGGACGCAGCCTGACACTCGAAAACACCTGGTAGCAATAGCTACATGTCGGGTTTTTTTGTTTTATTATTATTATTTTTTTGTTGCACACTTGACTTCCACAAAGAAGAAGCACTTACTCTCATTCACAGTAAATATCATTACTTACTAGAACTAATTGTGACTCCATTTTACAGCCTAGCAAGTAAGTTCTACAATGACGGTTTTCTCCTCAGCGGTGAGCAACGCAAGACAATGCAAACGGGAATGTAACAATTTGTGACCCATGAACTAGACACTTATCAGAATGTTATAAAAAAAAGTAATAAAAAATTAAAATGCAACACTTAAAATTAGCAGATAACATATCCAGTTCTTTTAAAATTAGACAAAAAAATAAAAAATAAATAAAAGGTGATGATAATAACAAATATGAACAAAACAAAAAAAAACAAAGTAGATTTGTTTTTCTTTACAATGGCACTATATAGACAGATATATAGAGTTGAACAATTATGAAGATGGCAATAAAAAAAGGGAGGCAGAGAAAAAAATGTATGCAGAAAAAGGGGGAGAAAAAGAAAAGAATATAAGACCTTAAAACCAGAAAACTTAAAAATCCAAAATGAAACTCCTGGGAAAATCCTGCGTCATGAAGAGCAACTGTAACTACAGAAAAAGTCTGGTAGTATAAAATGATACAACTCTATGATACGACACGAACCCTGCACCACTCTTTATGTACATGCTTCAATATATATCTAGGTATATGCTGTGAGTGGCAAGGGAAAGTAGCTTTTATGTACTGCTCCTCTATGATTAAACAACAAACTATAGCATATATACCATAGAACATAGAATGGAGGAAAAACAAGGGGAATGCAGAGGAAATCGTTAGCTCGGATACACGATCAAGTATATCGTAAACGAGGAATGGCTAATCGAGAAACAAACAGGATATGGCAAAGAAGAGGTACGCAATTTTCATATGTATGTATTTATATATGTATATTTATATATGGAGTTTAGTTTAGAAGTCAAGTTGTCTTGTAACTGCAGCAATTGCTCTGAATGATATATTTTTAAAAATCCCCCAAGACATTATCATATATTTTATCTTATTCTGTTTGAAAGAAGTGTTTGTTACTTTATCTTAACTGCCCTTTTATCTTAGAACACCATTGAGAGAGAAGAAAAAAAAGAGACAGCTTATCCCCACCACTTGCCAACAGGCTTTGCTAACACCGCGTTGTTTGACTTGTTGGCAGATGGTCGGTTCTGTCAGCACTCGTATTCGTGCCAACTCTAAGCTGGAACATGACATCCTGTGCAAAGACTCAAAAGCTGCTGGCCGACCGACACACGGGAAGGAATAAAAAGAGGAAACAAAAAAGTAAAAAAATATGAGCGGAAGTATGTGTTAAAGAAACCTTGCCTAGAAATTTCGACAACAGCTTACTGAAGGCAAGCAGCGACACTTACACGTGTACGTACGTACGGCAACACTTACATGTGTACGTACAGACATATGGAGAATAGATGTAGAATTACTTTATCCACGTTTCCCACCCTATCCGATAATATACATTATCGGAGAGGGCTTTACTACCACCTCTTTTTCTCTCTCTTTTTTTTTCTTCTTCTTTTTCTCATTTTTTATCATCATTTTTTTTTTGTAACCATTAGATTCCACATAATATAGCCTTAACACAATTACAGTAGTGCACTAGGTAATTACCATCATAAATATTGAGTTACGGGGAGGTATGAAGTATAAGTTTGTTTACATCAGAACTAAAGCATTACTTTGCTGTACACATATAAGCCAAATATTCTCGACATTTGCAATTGAAAGGAGCTTAATTTTTTTTTCACTTCATGATGGTCAATTAGAAGACAAATAACCATATTAAAAGTAAATAATGATAAAAAATATATATATATTATATATACTGTATATATGTATATGTAAAAAAATCTTTACAGATCTAGAGATCTACAGTGGACTTTGTAACATAAAAAAAAGTATCTAACCGGCACCTTGATGAGAGGGGAGTGACAAAAATATAAATTTCTCCTATAGAATAAAAACTTGAAATGGGGGAAGGGGAAAAGGGAAAGGAAGGGGGAAAAGGAGGGGTGGGATTTTTTTTTCTTTTTTGCTGAACTGCATCAAAATAATGCATTAAAAAAGACCACTCAATTCAGGTGCCATGTCCCAAAAAAAGACTCCGTCATACACGTGTGCGTATGGAACAGAATCCCCTTTCACGTGGCGACCAACCCGTCATAAGCTACTCCATCAGCTGCCCTGGGCTTTTGGGCGGTGTTCAAAAGCTTGGGTTTTTATTTTGGGAAGAAAATAAGGAAAGAAAGATAGAATAATTCCTTTCCTTATTGTGGACAGAAGTGGCAAGACTCCACTCTACCCCAATAAGGAGGAAGTAGTTGCTATTCATCAACCGAACTATCTATTCATCTCTTTCTTTACTTTTGAAAGTAAGAAAAATAAAAGATGTGTAGAAAAATGATAATTTGGTAAGCATCTGCTCTCAATGACAAGAACCAATATCGAAACACACCAAGCACCCAGAACAGCTAATTTTGTTTTGTTTTTTTCTTAATTGAAAGTTAGTGATGATTTACAACCGCAGTGGCCAATATTCTGTAAAGGGTTAGACTATCTTAAAAAGCATAAAACCTATCTGCTTTTCTTCTTCTATCGGAACAAATTATTTTATACTAAGATGGACACGATGCATCACCCATACTTGCAGGAGTGTTGGTGACTTATAACCAATATAATCTAAGGCTTTGAGATTCATGTGACCTTCGAAAACAATCACTTTGACCCATCACTAATGGCCCGGGTCGACTCCCCCTGTGGTACGGAAAGGAAAGTTCGTCTGAAAAAAGCAACTTCAATGTATGGCTTTGCACAGCATTATAATTACCCTAATTCAATTAGTACTTGCTTTCCAAAATACATTTGGTTAAGAAAATAATAATTCAACAAAAAACAAAATCGAAATGACAATCATTGAAGATCTAAAAGAAGAGCTGCAATTGTGTATAGAAGAGCTTATAGGCCAAATAGGAATAGTAGTCACTGTTTCTGTCCTTTTGGGTGGGGCCAATAGTGAAAAAGGGAGATTAAAAAACACCTCCTTGCATTCCTTTCAGACAACTTAACCTTGCCTATATAAGAGGAACCGCGACCATTGGTGATAATATAACGTCAGCGGAGATGCATACTAGCGATCAGCACCTGTCACTCATACAATCCCTTTTGTTCCTTACTCGTCGAATAAGCCTAATATTCATTTTCCTCTCTTTTCCTTCCTTTTTTTTTTTTGTTTTGTTTTTTTATTCATCTAATAATCCCTAGACTGTTTTATGTAAAAATCAAACTTGCTAACTGACCCTTTCTTGACGAGGGTCCTTGTGCAAGGTCTCCATCCAAGACTAATTTCCAGCCGTTCTACAGGTGTCTGATGAAGGGAACAGCCGGACGACTGGCTTCCCAACCCTTCTTTTCTTTTATCATTTTTCATTCTATACATATAATATTAAGTATTATTTTTTTATGTATCTATTTATTCATTTATGGGATGAGGCTTCCGAAAGCCTCTTTCTTCCCTGCTTTACTTCTCCTCAAAGTATTTATAAGTGGGGTTCTCATATCCGTT